GTATTACCCCGAGACTCCCTGGAGCAATCAAGGAGGAGAAGACTATGGATTCGGGTTCCAGTACCAACCCCCTTACTATGGAGAACAATCAGACCCCTGGGCATATCAAGAACAATCTCCTTATCAAGAAGAATTCCTCCCACAACAAGAAGGGCCATCAGATCTTGAGTTAGCCACAGCCTTCACGGGCCACTCTGCAAAGCCATGCTACACTTCACTGGAAGATCCGAACAAACAATTAAGGCTTCTCGTGGAGCAGTTTGCTCGAGACACTGAGAGATCATGCTCCAAGATGGATCTTCAAATCAAAGCCCTTGCTGCTTCCGATCCCTCATTTCTCCATGATATGGAGGAGACTGTTCAGCGCTCAGTGAAGCAAACAGAGTGGGTGGAGCAAGTTTGCTCACATCTTGCTCAAGATCACCTTTCTGCTACCACGCTAGAAGAGGTGGAGGATGACAAAGGCTATGGGTATGTTGAGGAGCATACAGAAGTTATCACAGAGAACTCCCATGATAATCATGATCAGGAAAGTCCTCTGGTTGCAGATCACACAATTCCTTATTTCTGCTCTATCATGCTGGGCCCAAGCGAGGAGATGCAAGATGATCTCATTGAAGAAATTACATGGCGACTTGCTCTCCAATCTGTGCTAGAAGAAGAAGAGCAAGAAAGGGTGCAGAAAGAAGTTGTGGAGGATGACGAAAGTGAAGCAGGAGGAGTTGTTGATCATTTCCCAGGGGTGATACCACATGAAGAAGAAAGGGGGGTTGAAGAAGCAATTGGCGTCCAGGCTGAGAACGGAGTTAAGGTGGAAGAGGCATGCACCGGCCATGAGTTACAAGTGATATCCCCACCAGACTTTGAGGAACTGCTTAGCAAGGACCCATTTGCAGTGTCTCTTTGCCAGACCAAGGCCACATCAACATCGGTCCCTCTTGGTGGACGTGATGGTGGCCAATCGATGCTGTCATATCTGGTTTGGGGCAATGAGACGAGGGAAGAGAAGAAGAGGTCTCGAGGGTGGAGACTTCATCTGCATCAAGTACATGAGCCTTCATCACCTGCCACACCACATGCTCGTGACTTGAGACTCCACCTCATCAACGAGAACCTCAACTTCAAGGAGGTTCTAGCATGGAACGAAACTTAGGAGCCATAGTCCGGCTCACGACGTGAAAGAAGCGCTTGTTGGGAGGCAACCCAACCAGTCGGTTTGCATTTCTTTCCCTATTTCTCTTCGGTTGAGTCAGTTTTGTTCTTTGATTTTAGAGTCAATAACTCAACCTTTGTGAGATTTTATGTGGTGTTTGTGTTCTGACTACTCTCTCCTCCTGGAATGCACCGCCTGCCCCATCCACCATCATTCACCCTTGATATGGTAACTTCGTTCTACCCTCCTTATCTTTCCTCCATTGAGGACAATGTCGTGCTTAAGTGTGGGGGGATGTTCGATTATGTATGCGGGTGAATGTTTGGCTGTATGTGTGCTTGGAGCCTAGTCCACTGTCCAAATTTTTAAATTTGAGGGCTCCAAGTACGTGTTTCCTTGCAAATTGCCTGCTCAGTATGCTTTGAATTGACAGTCTCTATAGTAATGTGCAACCTAGGGAGGTAGTGTAGCACTATGGAGGATGTTGAAGTATAAGATTTTTTCTATCTAGCTCTCTGCTGTGCCAGTTGATTTTGTGAATTAGTGGAGCTAAGACCGTTGAATTCATGTGGTAATGGTGACTCTGTTTGGATTGTGTTATGGACTCGTGTATTGAACAGGGTGCTCATGTGAAAAATGAAAAGCAGTTGGTCCTCCATGTCAAAATCATAAAATCTTAAACATGGGGTAAGCCCAACGTGTGCGGCACCGTTCATTGCACAAAATTGGGTTTTGGAAGAGATTTTAGTGATCCTTAGTGGGGTACTCCTACAAGGTGAAGCTAAGTTGTCTCTAGTACAAGTAAAACTTCCACCCGTTGAACGGTTTGCCTACTTGAGGATGTGTTTTTAAGGGCACGGATAGAGCTTCCGACCCCCTTGATTTCATTGACCCTCCACACGAGTTGAGGAAAAGGAGTTAAAAGAAGTACTCTGGCTAGCGCTAGATGTACAAAAATTGCTCTTGCTCGACTAATAAGGGTCGACCGTGCAAAAGACTGCAGTTGGAACCCCCGCCAAGTGAATGGAAATGAAAAAAAGTAAGATGAAAGTGAAAAAGGGGTTCCAACGGTGAAATGAAGTGAAAGAGCACCCCGGTACAACGAGTCCTTGGTAGTGAATGGTGTGAGTCCCTTTATCCATGAACTGACTGTCTTACTTCTACTTCTTCTCATGGTCCTGGCTTGAGTCTAGTACTCGTATTGAGAGAGATAGGGAACGTCTTAGAAGACCAGTTGACCTCGTAAGCTGCTATATGATCTAGGAAATCCTCCACCGACGATCGGGGTTGTTTGTTGCTATAGAGGTCTGGAGAGTTGCATTGTTTTGAGTCAGGTTTGCTTGGGGACAAGCAAACAGTTAAGTGTGGGGGAATTTGATGACTCGATATTTGCACATGTTTTCCCCTTTGTTTCTTGATCGTTTAAGCTTGCATTATCGCTTCTTTGGCCTATTTTACGCTAGGTTGTGTTCCTTTGTCACATTTCAGGCCCTAGCAAATAAAGTGAAGCATAGGCGCAAGTTTCAAGTCAATCAGAGATCAATTGGCGATTAGGGAGAAGAAACACGAGCATGACCTGAAGAAGAATGGATTTATACCTCAGTTTATGGACAAAGAATCATAGAAGTTTGTTATGAAAAGAAAGAGGAAGAGACTACGAGCGTCTGGGTTCAAACGGCGACTGATTCGGAGTCCGGACGAGGGAGAAACGAAGCTTTGAACAGGGGTGGAGGAAGAATTTGGGTGCGCTGAAACTTAACCAAAACGCGTGTTTTGGGAAAAATACGGGCATGGAAGAATTACGACCGTAATTCAGCCCGTAATTCGCCCAGAATCGGGTTTTTGAGGCAGATTAGAGCCAAAGGAAAGGGAGAGCTGGGTTTTGGATCCAAAACACCCAAGGGACGAACCCTAGAGAGAGAGCGACTTGGGAACATTCTTGGAGCTATTTTGGAGGATTTCTTCGCCATTGGAGCTCGGGAATCAAGCTTGGAGATGGAGATTGAAGATCTAGATCAAATTTCTGCAGTCTCTCTCTTCTCTATGGAGTAACTTCCCTTCACTTAGGTTTTGAGGAACCCTAGTTCCATGAGTTAGGATCTTTCTTGTATGAAGTTTTGGATGCTATATTGTTTGATTATAATCGAATGATGCATGTTTATTGAGTCAATTGAAGTCTGATCAACTTTTCCTGATTCCTGCTGCAATCTGAGATAGATAGAATCTGATTAGGTTGCTAGAGTCTCATCATTCGGTAGTAGGAGATTGGCTATACGAGAGTTAGCCAGTTTACTGCTTTGTACTGGAATCCAATTCCAGTAGTGGAGTTCTGTGCTTATTGCTTCAACTTTCTATCCCGGTGAAGACTAGTCGTCTGCCGGATAGTTAGACTGAGAGGGCTTGGTCAGCTTAAGAGATTCCAAGCTACTGTCGGATCTTCCGCAGTTTAATCAACAGTAAATCAACCAAAAGGAATTACAACTTGGACCTAATTGAGGAGCTAGGGGGAATCATACCTAAGTGAGTTCCCAAACTGTAATTAGTAGTTTTAATTAGTTTAGTTAGTAGAGTAGTTTAGTTAATCAATCCTTAATCTAGTTTGCTAGATAATGAACTTAAGCTGAGTAATAGTAACTCTAGAGACCCGTGGATTCGATATTTATTACTTGTGCCACTATACTGCAGTCCCTTTCATTGGTTACACTTGGCCATTGTTAGGTGTTGTGTTTTAGAGCATCAATGGTGTTTGAGCCTAACTGGGTGTAGGAGTGAGACTCGGGAAGATGGGTCAAGGAGAGTAAGCAATAGGAGAATAACCGTCAACGAAAGAACTGAGGAAACAACGAATAGAGTTGAGAGGGTGATATCTTAGAGAGATAAGTTGATAATTCTTACAGATAGAGTCAGAAAAATCCGATCCCCTCACCCAGCGGAGTAAATGCCGTATTTATAGGCTACATGGTGGTGGGTGAGTTACATGATGGTATGGTGACATGACTACTGACATGTCAGATACATAGGCCACATCCCTACTTAGGAAAAGACCTTTAGCCATGACTATACCTAGGACTATGATGGTGACTACTCTTTGAGTGACGCGGCGCCGCTTCCATGATTTCTTGGTCAGGGTCCACATCTGACCAAAGCGTCGTCGTTCTGTGTCCGGGCGCAACCTCCGGGCGTGGTCCTTTCTCGCGCGCTTGACTCTTGCGTGAGCGCCCTTGGGTGTTTCTTCAGCGCGGTGAGATCCGAGTCACATGCCCAACATATGTTCATAGTGAGAGGTGCTTCACAGCATTTGTCGACTTTTGTTCTTCCCTTTTGTAGCGTTCTTTTTCTCGTTTAATTAACTTGTCGTCATTATAAAAAAACAAGGCATTGTGCTACAGTTGATTTGGAATTGGCCCTACTTTCATTCTCTATTGGGTGTAATTGTTGTAGTTACTAGTTTGTAGTTAGTAAACTTGTTGAAGTCATTGATTGTACATGCGAAGCTTTCTTATGAACTAGAACACATTAATGTTTGCTGCTATTCAACGTCAAATGCCTTGTTTGAATTGGTATTTAGTTGTAGTTTCTGTTTTGTGGTTTTCTTTGTTTGCTTCATCTAATTGGGTAGTAGAAGAGCTTGGGCAACATCATTTAATTTACTTAAGCAGCTGCTAGCACGGTTAGGAGCCACTCAATTGCTTGTTGTGGTCATTGCACTAGAAAGTCGGAGAACAAGGGCACAACCAGCAACAGATGCCACAATCATAGGAAGAAGGAACAATGATGCCCAGTTTTTCATTTTTGTAAACAGTTGAACCTTGTGAAAGCAAAGCTCTTCAGATTTGTTGTGCACCAAAGAGTCGTAGCGCATTTATTCAAAGATAGAATCTGGAAAAGTTGACAGAGATATCACTCAAACATACAACATATACGCTTGCCATAAATTATACAAAATGTTCTAGGAACCTGCCTTTGAAGTACCTGCAACACGTACATAAATCAAAGTAGAAACGTGGGAGGAAATTACTCATTGAAACTTTCAGAAATCGAATATGGAATCATTAAGACTAAGCCAACAAAGTTAAGCTACAATTTTCAGCTCTCACAGTGCACATACTCATCCATAAATCCATGGAAAGGGCTCTTCATTCGCCAATCCCACTCAAGTGAACCAAACTAGCTAAATAATAATCAAATACTATCACATGCTTTGTCAATCAGCTGGCAACCTGCCATTGAGCAGGGCAACCCATCCAATTCTTTCCATCTCCTTTAATTCTTCCAATACCTTTCATCTCTGAAACCATGTGCTAGCTTCCTTTATAGAATAGTTTCGTCAGCTTTCATGCTTGCGGCATCTAGCTGCAATTGTAAATGGTTTTTTCACCATAAGAAGACCGAATTGCTAGCCTTCTCCTTCCCTATAAATAGACATCAAACGGAGGGGAGAGCGGATAGACAGAGGACCGACAGGAGAAAGCAATGACCTGAAAGTATTTTGAATCCGTTGGGATATGTAGCTATTCACCTCCAATCAACGAACTTCGGCTTTGGATTTCGACACTTACAAGAGGGAGGGACAGACCGAGGGGATCAATGTAGAGGGTCGTGTGGATCCGGTGGCGGCGAAGCAGTTTGACGGATGCGGAGCGGTAGAGACTGTAAAGGAGATGGGTCGACGACTGAGAACTTCGCCGGATCCTTTTGTTGCTTTGACAGTTAGACGGAGAGGGAAGGAGGAAGACGACAAGATTTGCTTATGGTTCTGTGACAGAACTTCTGTCTTATTATTTATTTATTTTTTTGGTGAGAGGTGTCTTACTTTCTCCTGGGGCAAAAACAAATAAAACTTAAAAGAATTTAAATTTTAATGGGAAAAGATAAAAACTAACCGCCTGAGGAGAAGAAAATGAAACACGAAGAGTCCTTGGCTCAAGGGATGATCCGGTTTGGACGATGGGTTCTGCGATGGGAATTAACCACTATTGCCACGTAAAAATACCCTGCCACGTGCACCAATTAAAAGCAGCGGCACCCATGCCACACTTTTAATCGCGGCATCGTAGTATTGGCCCAAATCATGGATAGGGAGATCCAAACACAAGCATAATTGCATAAACTCGTGATCCTGATACGTCCGGCCCATTCTATTCAACTTCAGGCCCAATCCACCAACAACAAAACTTGGTGCGGCTGTCACAACTCCACCTGTCTCTACTGGTTCAGCAAAGTTTCGGTTCACGCTATATTAATTCTCTCCAACTTGACATTTGAACACTAGTATGTATCTGTCCAGTTTGCCGGTTGCAATATGATAATAGTAATTAACAAAGCTTCAAGATTTAAATTTCAATAATCTTCTTTTTTCTTATATTCTTGTCATTATTATATGTTAATGGGAAAAAAATCCCAAAATACACATGTTTTTAAAAAAAAATTCTCAAAATACACACGTTATAAAAATTTTCCCAAAATACACATGTTTGGGCATCACCGCTGTTGTCAACCGCAGTGAATGCATTCACTGCGGCAAACCAAAGCGGTGAATGCATCACCGCGGTTGACGGCCGCGGTGAATGCCTAACGTAACACTGAAACTTCAAACAAACATAACTTTGCGCTCGGTTATCCGATTGTAGCGATTTTTTTTTATTCCACATAACTTTTCAAGATCTTTCAATCTGAGATAAGACTTCATCCAAAAAAAATCATTTGCTACCCCGAACGAGCAATTTTTCAATTTTGACAAACTTTGATAGATTATAACTTTGTGCTCCACAATCCGAATATCGTGAAACTTTTTTTGATTTTGCATAACTTTTGAATTACTATAACTTTTATTATAACCATAATTTTGGAAAGCATGTGGATTTGTGAAAAGTAAAGGCAAAGTTATTCGCAAAATTTCGTATACCCAAAAATACTTCTTTTTTAAAAAATTATTTCCTAATCAAAGTTGTAGTTCTTAAAAAGTTATGCGCAATCAAAAAAACTTTACGACGTTCGAATTGAGGATCTAAACGTTATGTCCTTCCAAAATTTTGAAAAATCGAAAAATTGCTCGTTTGCGGTAACAAACGACATTTTTTTTAGATGTAGTCTTGTTGCAGATTGAAAGATCTTGAAAATTTATATGGAATCAAAAAAAAAAAAAAAAATTCGCTACCATCAGATAACAGAGCGCAAAGTTATGTTTGTTTGAAGTTTCAGTGTTTAGTCAGACATTCACCGCGGCCGTCAACCGCGGTGATGCATTCACCGCTTTGGTCTGCCGCGGTGAATGCATTCACTGCGGTTGACAATAGCGATAATGGCCAAATATGTGTATTTTGGGAATTTTTTAATAACGTGTGTATTTTGAGAATTTATTTTAAAAACATGTGTTTTTTGGGAATTCATCCATGTTAATGTCATTCGAATTAACAAACAATAATATCAATTTTACAAAGGAGATAGCAAGGTAGTTTTCTAGCTTTTATCATTAAGAATGTCAAAATATTTTTTTAGATAACGATGATATAATATTATTATAAGAAGATCAAAATATTTTATTACTTAAAATGATCATCCAACAAAAAGATCACTAACATTTGCCTTCTATACCGCTTGTTGTTGAAATTCAAAATGTAGGAGTAGGACTTATGCAAGGGGATACATATTAACTCATATCAAACTCTTTTTTTATAAAACTTAATGACCCAATATTATAGGTATTCCAATATAGATGGTATCAACTTTTTATCATCAAGAATCTTCAATAATCAATAGATGCTTTTTATTTTTGCATTTTTTTAAGCAAATTCAAACACAAAACATAATCATATATTGAAATGCATTTTCCTTGATAATTTACATCATTTTGTCACAAATATTGTTGGAGGTTAACCTGGTTACGGAATTTGTGATGTACTAATAACTAGCATGGGCCTCGGCCATTTGGCCGGAGGAAGGTGAGGTATGAAATTTGATAATGTAATGGGGTGTATAGCTTATTGTTGTATATTTTTTTTTTTTTGGAAACACGTGATAAAAATAGTGAATTTTAGTAGGAAAGAGACATGAATGATGCAACGAATCAAAAATCAGCCTTATGAACCAAAATCAAGTACCTGTTACCTTGCGAAACAATATTTTCTGGTAATATGATGATGTGGAGTAAGTTTTATAGAAACCGAATTCCAGAAAATCGAATAAAAAATCGTCTATCCCGCCGGTTTTCGGGAAATGAGCATCTCACAATCGTTGCTAGCTTTTACTCGGCCCGTTGGCCTATTAATTTGCTTTATAAAACTTTCATCTTATCATCATTGTGCTTTCTGGTTTTTTGCCAAGCCATGATAAAATCTAAAGAAATCAAGAATGAACAACATGATCTGGGATAGGAACCACCGTTCTTGTATCCCTAGAAAATGGTGGTAAACACGGACTCACCTGCCAAACTAGTTTGGATTGAGATTTTTATCGAGTATCTGGGAACCATGTGATTATATATTAGACTTGATCAAAACGGGCCAAAACTTGAAATTCAACATGTTTGACCGACCCATGCCAAACTCTAATTATTCTTTACTTTTAAACTTTCTATTTGAAAATAAAAAATAATGAAAGAAAAAAGATGACTGCAATTCGCCATTTGCACATCACTGATTCGGGAATAAAACTATAGAAATTTGAAAGGAAACTGAAAACGTTTAGGATCGTTTTAATGTTAAAAATAACCAAATAGATCTTTCTATTTAGTTTTTACTAACAAATACCAAACGATTCCCCATAATATACACTATAATTTAATCATTATGATATCCAATAATTACATAATATATATTTGAAATGATAAAAATTGGACTAATTGGGTTGGCCAAAACTTGAAATTCAACCTGTTTGACCGACCCATGCCAAACTCTAATTATTCTTTACTTTTATTTTATGATTAGTGGTTAGCCCATTAGAATCCATGCATTAGTTTATTGTTAAATTTTTTTCTTTTCAGCAATAAAAAGGAGTATTGTTTTGGCCTGTTCATATATATTTTACCACCACGCAGAAAAAAAGGACTTAAAGAAAAAAAAATTGACACTCCTGGACCCGTTTAAATCCTCATGTGTACGATAAGTTGGCCCGTTCCATAGAGGAAAAAGAAAAAAACTTGACACTCCATATTCTACCCTTCCTACAAACGCTCCTCGAGCAGGGAAGTTGAAATTGGGGAAGGGTTTTTTCCTCTCTGCGATTATATGTTTTTAATTTAAAAAGATACAACAAATGTACTTAGTGTGATTGGTTATGATCTTTGCTTTTCTTTAAAGTGGTCATGGTTCGAATCCTAGTAAGTATTGTTTTAATGAATAAAAAAAAGTAATTGTGAAGACCAAAATGTCATTCCTACTTTTACTCTGCATGCAGGAAATTTGAAATGGGGCTTCAAGTTTTCTCATTTAGTTTTTATTTATTACTAGCTTTGTACTCGGCCCGTTGGCCGAATGAGTTTCGTTTATCATTTATATTTATTAATTATTATAATAGTTAAACAATATTTTGGATTTTTTAGTTTTTATGTTGTAATTATTTATTTAATAAATATTTTGAACTCTGGAGTGCGATAAAATGCATGGGTTGTTGTACAATGTGTGGATTTGTATTGTATAATTATGACCTTTATTATGCCATGTTTGTATAGGATGTAGTGGGAAGACAAATATATGATTGTTATAAAATGAAGGAAGATGGTTTACTGTTTCAGGCAAGCTTAGTAGTAAAGGACATTAAATAGGATGCGTTTAATATTAGAAGTGCTTTTTAATATAAGATGTTATGGAAAATTACTAAAAAGAATTTTTTATACAAAATATGAATATAAAAAATAAAAGGTAGTCAAAATGGATCTTGTTAAATTTCTTATATATTAATAATATTATATTGTAATTTATTTTATTTTTTAAAATGATATAAATTTAAAGAAAGTTATGTTTTCAAAATAAAATTAAATATGGTAAGGATAATAGTGTATTTTCAAAACAACTTCTCGTAGAAGCTTCAAATCGGAGCTCTGCTTTTATGTTATGCAAAAACACTTTTCAATTTTTCAAAAACCGAGCTTGTAGAAGTGTTTGACTCAACTTCAATTTTTGGAACAGAAAAACACTTCTAAAAGTTGGGCCAAACATAGGTATTGGCCGCAACACTACATAAAGTGAAATGAAAAATTACTAATCAATGAAAAATTTTGATACCATACATGATGTGATGTGACGTAGAATATGAGCGTCTACACACACAAAGACATTATTTAATTGATACATCTATTTATTGTTCTATATAAGATCAAATGCTAATGCAAATAAAAAATAGCTATAATTAAGAAGAAAATGATTACATAAAGTTTGATAAATTCAATCACTACTTGACCAAAATACAAAGATTAAAATCGTATGAAGAGCGTCTTATCATCCATAAGATTTGTGGAAAAGAAGACTGCATATGGTTATCAAGTTATTAATAGAGGATCTCAAAGCACATGGATTATTATAGTACATATATTTTTAGTAACCTATAGAATGGTATCAGTATTATTTCTAGAACAAAATGCTCGTAGCTAACCAATAAAAGTTATCATTTCAGCAATTTTAAACAACTTTAAATTAGTTATCCACAAAAGTTGGGTTTAATGCCAAGGAGGATCGATAAATTCTATAATTTTTGGATCGTGAATTACGAAGAACTAAATCACACTCTTTCTATGAGGTATGCGTTCCACACTACACTACACTCTGTTCATTTTTCCTTTTTCTCAGCCCATTAACCTGCTTTATTTCTACTCTGCAGCCTTGTCCGGTCCGAGGTTGTGACTTGTGACGCATTAGAGTTCGGATGACGAACAGACCACCTACTTGCTAAGAAACGCCACCTGCTACCATATCAAACCTAGTGTTAGTGATGAAACAATAAAATTACGATACTTTTGAATAGAGTTTATTTTAGACAATTTAGACATACATACAGGTCATATTAATTAATAAAATACATTAACGATTTCTGAATGAGAAGTAACTTGCCTATGCAGAAGCTGCTGCAATTGCTGAACTATAGTATCCCATGACATGTAGATAAAAGAGCAAAATCATTGAAACAGAGGGTTTAAAGCATAATCAATAAGGCTAATCAAAGTATTTATTTTTAAGAAGGAAAACATTTTCTTTTGTGTTTGCCTTAACTATCTGAGCGTGGAAATCTCTGAGAAGCTCCGGGTTATGGCGGACCAGCCATTCTGCCACTATCTATCAAGATCCGGAAGAATTCCCAGAATACAGTAAAAATTATACATAATTCCCGGAATACATAAGTTTTATAAAATTTTCCCAAACTACCCAAGTTTCAAAGGGTTCGAGTTTATGGGACTCGAACTACTCACCAGTTCGACGATGAAAAACTCGAACTAAAATAGGATCGAGTTTTAAAAACTCGATCAACATTAGTTCGATTTTGGAGAACTCGAACAATGTAGATCGATGACAAAGGACTCGATCTAAGTAGATCGAGTATGGACAACTCGATCCAGTTAGATCGACGCATAAAACCTCGATGTAGTGCAACGACTTTAATGCACTCGATCTTTATCTGCACTAGATCGATGCCCTATGACTCGAACTACCTAAATCGATTCCAATGGGCTCGAACCACTGGCCCACCGACATGCTTCAGGATAGGGTTGCAGGGATAAGATTCTTTGTTGTCATAGATCGAGTTTTAGGGACTCGAACTAGTGTAGTTCGATTACACTAAACTTGAACTACTTGCTCAATCATTCTGTCTAGTCGCTTTCGGTCCGACATGCTCTAGAATAGGGTGCAGGGGGGGGGGGGAATTATTGGTTGACATAGATCGAGTTTAATGAACTCGAACTAGTGTAGTTCGAGTGTTTTGGACTCAAACCACTCCATCAGTTTACGATAATAAAAAGCCATCACTTAGCACATTCTGGCAGCTCTCTTCCTTTCTATCTTCTTTCTTCCAAACACAAACTGCAGCTGCTGGAGCACCATAGCTGAGCAAAGAAGAAAAATTTTGGAGGTAAGTTCTGCTTACTTTGTTTGAATGAGCATATTAGAATTTTGGATTAATTTAGTATTGTTTGTACTGTATGTAATGAGTTGCTTGTATAAACTTCAGAAATGGGTAGAAATTTTCGAAAATTCGACTACGAAGATTCGGTGGAATGGTCGAATTACACTTTTTCATGATAGTATTGACTACGAAGATGGTGAATCAAGTATTGTCCGGATTGAGAGCATATTTACTTGGCAAGAAGTCAGTCATATTTGTGCGGAACGATGTTGCATAGGAGGGCGAAGAGTATGCAAGATGACTTATCGTATACCGGTTTACAAGGATTATGCACTTGTATATGAAGGATCAGTTTTGTCTGACGATGATGACATTAATATGATGGTGAGATTTATTGCAGAGAACAGATTTCCAACTGCAAAGGGTGGTAATGCTCAAACAGTTATACTGGATGCAAAGAATGGAATTGGAGAGTGTACTTGTGGGAGGTTTCAAGGGAGACACCTGCCTTGCTCTCATGCATATGCAGCTGCGAGAAGCGTTAATTTGGACCCTTTGATATTTGTTAGTCCATACTACAAGACTCCATACGTGGTCAGAGTTTGGGAAGGGTCGTTCTTTCCCTTGGCTCATGAAGCATATTGGCCCCAGTATGATGGACCTGTAGTGTACCCTCCCGAGCACATGAAGCGTACCAAAGGTCGCCCGAAGAAGTGCTATGCATGTCGAGTTGAAGGGCATGATAGGCGCCAGTGTCCAGGGCCATCGACTGATAATTGAAACTTTATGTTGTATTTTGAATTTTATGGTGTAATTTAAGAACTTTATGTTGTAATTTGAATTTTATGGTGTGATTTAAGAACTTTATGTTGTAATTTGAATTTTATGTTGTGATTTAAGAACTTTATGTTGTAATTTGAATTTTATGTTCTGATTTAACAACTTTATGTTGTAATTTGAATTTTATGTTGTGATTTAAGAACTTTATGTTGTGAAATAGAACAACTTAACAATGCATGAGAAATAGAACAAATTAACAACGTCATTAGAAATAGAATACCTTAACAACTCTAAAGAAATAGAACAACTAAACAACTCTAAAGAAATAGAACAACGGAACAACGTCATTAGAAATAGAACAAATTAACAACTCTAAAGAAATAGAACAACTTAACAACTCTAAAGAACACCTCACTCTTGTGCACCACGTCCGCGTCCCTCCCTTTGACGTCTATTCCTTGAACGAACTCCATATCCAATTCCAGTATTTCGTGGCAATGGAGGTGGGGTTGCAGTGGCTGGAGGACCATAATAAACATTTGGAATTGGAGTCTGGAAGCTTTGATGCGGGGTTTGAAATTGATGACCTTACGATGAATAGTAGGCTCCTCCTCCCCCTCCTTGAGCAGAACCTGATGATCCCTCTCCGAATTCCCTTCTGGCGGGAGGGAATCCATACTCGTATGGGTCAGGAAGTGCCACAGCTTCTCGTACATGCCAGGGACTGTAACTGGCTCTTGCCGACGTATACTCCTCCATGGTGGTGATGGCGGGAGAGATTCAACTTCAATGGCGTGGGAGGAAGGACGTGGCGGTGCAGGAGCAGTAAGGATATGCAATGACATCCCTTCAGATTTCCCGCGAACATGACAAGAGATTCTTGAAGAGCTTCTTCAAGAATGAAATTTTGTCCCCTGGCACATCATCTTCTGGTTCATTCTCCAACGTCATTGATGCAAGTTCCAACCCATCAACCTAAATAATAAACATGTTAGTCAAACACTATATGTGTAGCTAAAGTGATTATAGTAAATAGATATTGTGCTTACCAATGAACCGATCACGGCGCCACGTTTGGTTACCCATCTTTTTGTGAACTTGCGGTACCAAACCATGTATTCATCTTGGTACCCCATTGGCCTCGTCATTGGGATCCCATCAATTGCATACGTCTGACGAGACTCCCACATTTCGATCCATCTATGGTGCTTGGTTGGCCAATCACTTATTGTACCCCGCAGATCCTTGTTGTACTTGTGGAGTGACTTATGTACGTCCGGTGGTGGGAGAGGAATCAGTTGCGCCCAATTATATTGTCGGACACATCTATCCGGGAGGTGCCACTCGACAATGTTGTGGCAAATCACAGGCAACTTGCACGACCAGAGTCGTCGATCCTCAGGGTATCGCAACTCGTACAAATCCTTTGCTCCGTTCGGATACGGATCCCACTCCACCTAAGTTTCAACACAACATATAAATTAAAATCGAAGCAAATAATTTCAACAAATAAAATAGGATTCATAATCATAAAAATAAATAATGGGCTAAGACAAATAATTTCAAGAAATAAAATAGAATTCATAATCATAAAAATAAATCATAGGCTAAGACTAAGACAAATAATTTCAACAAATAAAAACTTATTCATAATCGTAAAAATAAATCATTGGCTAAGACAAATAACTTCAACAAATAAATTAGAAATAAATAATCATAAGCTAGAATGTTACATCGTTGAATTCTATACGGTCAAGATGTTGGCGGTACCCGTCTAGAGAGGTGAAACTCGTGATAGCTCCAATCCATCTAGCACCATAAGCCCATTGTCGTAGTGGCTCATCGGGACCCCAACTGTTGGCAGGGTAGATCGGAGCGAAAGTAGGAAGGTGCTCCCAAACCCATAGTTGGAGGATGAACATGGGACCACCCGCTTGCTTTGTTTTCGGATCCGTACACTTGCACAACTCCGAATATATCATCGCCAAACAAGCAGATCCCCAAAATTTTCTCCCAATCTCGTCCCAATCTTCCAAAAGAACTCGAAGCCACATACAATGCATATTTCCACCAGACTTGTTCGGAAACAAAAATCCTCCAACCAAACAAATAAGGTAGATGCGAGCATACCTCTCTATCTGAGCATCCGTGGCATCCTCCTGTAATTCCCCAACGGTCCTCACTAGCCAAGGTATCAATAACATACACTTGTGTAGAGGTGGTACACGACGACCTTCTTGTGCTTCCTCGGGGATGTTGATACCTAAACGCTCGCTTATAAATTGGCCCCAACCATTCAATGGTTTCTGTGAACTTTCTATTATTGCATCACCATCGATTGGAAGCTCTGTCAGCATGGCTACGTCCTTCAACGTAATCGTCATCTCTCCCTCTAGAAGGTGGAATGTGTGTGTTTCTTTTCTCCATCTTTCCACCATTGCAATAAGAAGGTTGTTGTCCATCTCTATCCCCACAAACTGTCGCCCCCTCAGCAATCGCGCTCTTTCAATGAAGGGCTCGATACGATCATCCCATTTAGGCAAGCGAGATAGCGACCGATGGGTGATTATGTCAAGTTGTTCCTGTAGAAAAAAAAATATTAATTATTTACAAAAAAAATTAGAAGAATACTATCACATTTAAAAAAAAGAAAAGTACATGAGGAAGTGCTTACCTGATCTGCCGCCCAAACACTTTCAGACCGATGGTAAGGTTGCTCATCCAACAAATCGGTTTCTCGCGGTCCGCCTTGAATGTATAATCTAGGATCGCAAATACTCGGATCCATCTCGACAATTTTGAGTGATAGAAGTACCAAACTAAAGAAAAAAATCTGATGCGGAAGATCGGGCTTAGCCGCAACCACAGAGCATATTGTTTTTCTTCAAGAGTGGTGGGAGGAATAGAGGAAGAAGAATGGAGTGGTGTGGGATTTGGTGGAATGGGAGGGGGAATTTATAGGTGCAGTTGGTTGAGGTGGATCGAGTTTAGGGGACTCGAACCATTGCATCGATTTTTCCGCCTTTGATCCGTGTCAAAAGGAGTTCGAGTGCAGGCAAATCGAACGACCAGATCGAGTTAGGCAAACTCGATCTACGGTGGAGCGGGTCTGACGTCATCGATCCGCGTCAAGTAGATCGATTCCAAAGAGCTCGATCCATGTACATCGATTTATCCCCACTCGATCCGCGTCACCACTAAATCGCGGATGTGGCCATCGAACGGTGGAGTTCGATTCCCTTTACCTCGATCTAGGGTGGAGCGCTGCTTATGTCAGCGATCCATGTCAATCAGTTTGAGTGTTCTGTACTCGATCCACCTAAATAGAGTTTACCACACTCGATCCGCGTTGTCATGTTCCAGCCAATCGCGGCTGTTTCACTCGATGCACGTGGATCGATCCCTTGGCAATCGATCTGGTACTAGTTCGAGTTTGTTAAACTCGAACCGGTTCAAACTTTGGTAGTTTGGGAAATATTTATAAAAGTGATTTATTATGGGAATTACTTTTAATTTTCACTGTATTTAGGGAAATAATGCATCAAGATCCTGATGCAAAGATGTTCTAGAATATTCCTGCACAATCAAATGTTTTCTGCCTGGCATAAAAAACTGAAAAGAAACAAATAAGCAATTCAAGTGAGACTCAACTACTTTAAACACCATTTGATTTAACAGGCTGAACTTCCAGAAGTCCAGTTCTTAGGATGATTGTCGTGCACTATAAGAATATGGAAACATGGACTTTATAAGGCTGCAGTAAAAGGAATGAATGCTAAAACCAAACAACAGCAGTGATATCAAACATGTAGGGGGTACAATATTGAAGAAAATGAAGATAAAAGAGTCGACATTAAGGATGTACATAAATCATTACAGAATTGGCTAAGATAGAGGCATGAAGATTATAGGAGAGCTAGCGACAAATGTAGGTATACATGAACAATCAAAAACAACAAATGCCATAACAGTCTAGCTCAACAAACACAGGACTTCACTGGAGTCCTAGTGCAACTTATATACATTGACATCATGTTGCGAAGGAAATGACCAATTAGATGGGAAAATGAGTAACGCAGTAGGAAAAACTAAAGGCTATTCAAATCTTTGCACTGTTGAATTGGAAGCAGAATACCTGTAAAAAAGTACTCTATAGGAATATTGGGAGCTACCCCAATTAACATTCTCTAGGGGTTGGCCGAGCAATCACGATAGGTTAGATAGAAGAATTCCCAAGTTTAAGTGGAAAGACATTAAGAGCATGTCCTTGAGCAGCTTCTGCCAATCTGCTTCATCATAGAGTGATAAAATTTACTCCAAAATGGTGAATACCAAGATGAATGAGAAAGTTGGAAACCTTTGAAAATATGGCTTCAGAAGTATCAAAAGTTTCATTAGCGATAACTCACATTAGGCAAAAAATTTACCACTACTTTCATCTCATGATACACAACGACACTAAGTGAACATGCATTAACTAATAACACCAAGTGCAATAACTCAACACAAATGTTAGCAGAACTCATAATAATCCATTTACCAATAAAATAGGACAATATCTTCCAGTGAGCCTATCAAGAATCAACCCACCTTAACGAACAAAATGAATGGCATATTGACAGTGTGTTGTGATTACTTTGCCAACAATCATGAAGGAACAACTATAGAAATGGACATGAGAAAGGATAAACAACTGCAATACAAAATTTATGTAAAAAGCACATTATGCATTCCACCAGGGTCCGACTCAAAATACTCTTTTCCAGCCATCACTAATGAAGAATCCATGAATCAGTTGGTGAGAGGTAGAAGATGTTATCTGCAGGAGTCATAATTGATGTTGCACCATAATCATCAAATGGTCTTCTACTGGTCTTTATGGCACCAGGCTATGCTGTGAACCTGAAGACAAAATTTCATGAAAAAGTCAGACCAACCACATAGACAATGCATGCACACATAAAACAAACATGGGGCCAAAACACATTTTTTCAGAAAAAGAAGAGGAACAAATTGTACTTGATAGAGAAGGTCAAGACCAACACGACCCATCTTCCATCCAAGGAACTTCTTCCATTTATACAACCATTCGCTCATTTAATTATACAACATTGCACCTAGTAAAGAAACAAAAATCACACCAAACTAAGATATGAAAATGTATTCGTAGTTACATGGTTATCATCTTCAAAGGAAACCATTAACAAATCCACTGGCATTCCCATCTTTTTCGTAGAAAGATTCAACAACTCGACTCTTATTCAACCTGCTATTTGTATGATATTCTTCTCCCTAGTCATCATCTTGAGAAACCAAATAGTATGTGAATCACCAGATGAGGAGGCAAGTCTACGATTGAAATACAAAAGCGTACAACGAAGGAAAATATGATTAGAGGTGGCAAGCCAATGAATATAAACTGCCGATAACTATTGGGTGATTTTCACCCTGGAGAAAAGGATAAGTAAAGTAGTCGAAACTCTTGAACAGTCAACAAGTAAGTTGAACGAACACAATACAGAATCATAATAGAGCTCATGATCTAATTAGACTTATTTTATTGAGAGGGAAGCATTTAGCCAGAGATCACAAAAGAAAAGAGCAAGAATAAAAAACGTAGGTCTGCACACCAGCAGAAGCCTACTAACTAACTACGAACTAAGAAATAGTCACAAAAAACCTCAAGAAGCAGG